ATTCCTGGGATCATCTACTGCTAAATCACTCAGAATTATCTCTATTCTAGTATAACAACAGCCCCTTTTTCTCAATCCAATGAATTCCAGATCAAATAAAAGCAAAGTTGAACTAAAATATATCACAAAATGCAAGTAAAATGGGTTGTTTCATGTTGACTTTAAGAACAAAAACATGTATTATTCTACAAAACTAGGGAATCCCTTCTGGCAATAAAAGAGTTGCTTCAGATGATTAGAGGACTTCACACACACCGAGCCAATGCATCTAAATCTTTGGCATTCACACTCTTTAACTCTGACTGACGTTTTACCAGAGCTATCTCCAACTGTTTAAATCCAATCCTAGTTTTGTCCAATCAGGTGTTTAAGGAGAAAACAGGGCTAGATGGAATATATAAATGTGCATGTGTATGTACATGTAATGCATGTGCATGACTCAATCGCTGTGCATGTCTTGCTGTTTATGGGGCCAAAGGTCCCAATAAACCTTGATCGAGGAGAGCTGGTATCTCTGTGAGCGCTGGCCTCTGTAACTAGGACAGACAGGTGTGCGGCAGACCCTTGGCCCCGCTGCGGCCCCTCACCGGCCCCATGCTGGGAAAGAGGTGGCCGTCCCTCTACACACAGCCATTTATCTCAATTTCAGTCTGCTCGCCGTTCCCGGATCAAACAGCACTTAAACTAAATAACCCTGCTGGAATTCACCCGCAGACTCATCAACCTGAGATACATAAGCACATCTCACATTGACCAAACCAGACAGCCACTGCACCGGTTATACACCATCACTTAAGACTAAAGTGTCTCATTAAAATCAAACTATATATTACATATACTGTACAATGCAGGCAAGTTAACTTTATATTTGCACGTTCATACGTGTGAACAGGTAATTACTTTTCTCAAGGGAAAAAACGTGTAAATAAGTGCAAACGGTTTTGTATTTATCGAGTGACTAAAGGTGGAAATAAGACTTCTTAAATGTGTGAGCTATATTTTTAACTCGCCTTTACTATCCCCTTAAAGGGGATATATCATCAAAACATATCATGCGCTTCCTAAAACATTCACAACATAGAGCTCCGCCCAGACCATATAAGGAAACTAATCTGCAAAAATAGCTCATTTAGAAATTAACATGACTTCCCAAATGCATTGACATGTGATTATGACCAATGACATTTACACGACTGTTCAATAATTGGTCAGTATGTTGGTCAAGCATGCATTATATTGATCAAAAGTCAATTTAAAAAGTACAGACTTAGAAATCTTTTGTAACATTTCAAGTAAATGTTGTTCTTTTACACTTTCTATCAATCAAAGAATCCTGAAAAGAATTTAAGGTTTTCACAAAAATATTAAGCAGCGCAACTCCTTTCAACATTGATAATAATAAGACATGTTTCTTGAGCCTCCAATCATCATATTAGAGTGATTTCTGAAGGATCATGTGACTGAAGACTGGAGTTATGATGCTGAAAATTTTGCTTTGCACAGGAATAAATTATGGTATATTTTAAAGTATAGTCAAATAGAAAACAATTGTTTCAAATCATAATATTATTTCACAATATCTCGGTTTTACTGTATTTTTTACATCTCTACCTGATTAAAATGCAGCCTTGGTGAGCATAAGAGATTTATGAAAAATATTATAAAATATTAACAATCTTTTGAACAGTGTTGTACATATCAACACCTTTTTATTATTGGCAAGTCCAGATGAACGACAGTGTTAATTATGCCAGCACACAGTAGTTAGACAATCATAACAGATGTCATTTACATACAGATAGTCTTTTACAATAGACCTTATTCGCAAACACCGGAAGTAGCTAACCGCGGCCATATTGTTGACATGACATCTGTCCTGCTGCCCCTAACCGCGCGCAGATTTGAGTTGAGGGGAGCAGTAGCCTGGCTTCATCTCGTCGGTATCAAGAGAAGATAATGCTATTATTTGATGTGGGTCCACACCAATCAAGCTTAAGTAAAGATCCGTCCTTATTGCCACTTTGCCAGCCGTAACTTATCCGGATATTTATAACGATCTCGTTCATACAGTATCCGTATACAAACTACAATGCACCTCAACACAAGGCAACATAATGAACGACACTCGTCTCATTCGTGGAGGTGGAAAAACAAGTTCTTTGTGACATGCAAGATTTGTTGTATTAAAATGTAAATGCAAAAGAAAAGGCATGAGAGTCGGTTGTTTTTGTCAATTTTAAGTTTTCATTTAAAATGTTTGTGCGTTCCATGTAAATGTTTAACATGGTTACATATTTGACCAATTGCTTGAACAACTTAATATATAGAAGTAATGCATGGAATAATTGGCTTACGTTGTTGAAATAGTGAGTATGTGTTAAAATAAAAATAGTGAGTACCGGGGTGTTTGTGGTAACGTTACAGCCGCGGATCAGTTAGCTATACGCACTGCAAACGCAGCATATAGCACTAAAGCACTGTAGCGCGTCCTGCTTCTGTACCATATACGCAACGCACCGCACACGCATTGCACACGGATTATGTGTGAAACCTGTGGTAAAAGGATGGGAACAGACTTTTCTGTGGTGAGTTGGCTGAAAGTTTAGCCTATTTATCCTAGCTAGCCTCTCCTGCGCTGGCTCAACTCTGTCTCCTTCCCTTCACGTTTTCTGACAGTCGGTAACTTATCGAAATCATAAAAACTAACTCCGGGGTTCTTATTGCTGTTGTTAGAACAGACGTGTATTACACAACACACCATCACGCTGTTTTAAAAAAAAAAATACAGTGATAATACCATGGATAATACCGACACTGCCTCGCCTGTCAATTGACAGACTGACAGTTGCCGTGATTTCTATGTCAACAATATGGCCGCCGCAAACATTGATGACGCAGATCGAATAACATCTATAGTCTGTAGTGTCAAGCTCGAAAAATAATCTTTTAAAAAGCCCAATAAAAATAGTCCAAATGACTCGTGTACTATATTCCACGTCTCCTAAACCAAACACTAGCTTTGAGTGAGGACCAAACCTGTATTTCAGCAAAATGTATTCGTTAAAACACAGGTTTGATGTTACTGATGATAAGCCCCATTGGTTTTCAAACCAAAAATGTCATGACAGTTTGAAGGAAAATGACATTTGAGAGCTATAGCAAGTCAAATCACATTTATTAATATAGCGCTTTTAACGATACAGATTGTTTCAAAGCAGCTTTACAGAGATAACAGGAAAATAGGAAAAGATTTTCAGAAATAACAAAGCGTTTTTTTTCTCAACCCTCACACAAAGCACACATCATATGGACTACTTATGTGCAGATTTTTAGCCTTGAAAAGACATGGTCAATATGGTACCATGCCAAAAAATGTTTACTTTTGTGTTCCACAAAAAAAGAGAAAAGAATATGTTTTGGAGCAACATGAGGGTGAGAGAATAAATGTCGAAATTTTCATTTCTTATCCCTTTAATCCTAAAGGTCGACGAGTGGGAGGAAAATAGTCTTGAAAAACTACATTACGACCATTTTCGGGTGCAAGAAACCTTGACTAATATAATAAGTGGACTTCTGGGGGGAAAAATAAACTGCAACAAAAGCAGAATATGGTCCATTTAAATAATTTTGTGGCTTTTGAAGCATGCGCCTCTTTAATGGACAGCGAGGGCATCTAATGCCAGTATGTTGGCGTGGTGATGGTGTTGGCATTGTGCTTTTGTTCGCTGGAACGCTTTCAAAGAGGAATAAAAAGGTGAAAATCTATTTAGTGGCTTTACGCCATACCTAAAGTGTCAAAGCGTGAACAGAATGCCGGTGTGCGAGAAAAGAGACATAAAAATAGAGAAAGCGCTGATGACAGAGGAGGCAGATCTGGCGTTATGCGTACTGGCAGGTAGTGTATCAGAAGCCGAGGGTGGTTGTACTAATAGTTCTAAATACACCCCATGATGAGCTATTAGAAGAGGCTTTTTGTGAATGTGATAAATAAATCCTCTTTAGTCAGTGTGACAGTAATCCCAGAGCCCCCGTGCCTCCGTTCCTTACCAATCCATCAAGCGGCGCCTGCATATAATCAGTGCAGCATATTTCTCAAATGCGTTTCCGTACGCTACAAAGACTTCCCGAACACGCAGACTGTATCTCTGGAAATTTCCAAGCCTGCCTTGGTCTCAGCGGAATACGTCAAACTCCACTTCCCACGATGCCTTGTTTCATCTTCACAGGTTCAAATCTGCATCAGGCACAATAAAGGGCACTTCTGGAAAGGGGCATCGTTTATCAGAGCTACTGTATAAGCAATACGGCTCGCCTTACTAAGCCTATTACGTATTGGATTTCTGTTGCTGTGGCATAATTTATTTGAGCTGCCGCGGCTCAGAAGCAATAATACTTGTTTTTGATCAATTAAGAATGTCATTGTGAAGGGAAAATACTCACTTGGGGTTTCTCACTGAATTTAAAAACGCCAGAGTAATTCTACCTCAAATGAACAAAAAGAAAACATACATCCATGAGAAAAAAAAAATCTCCTGAAAACCCAAGTATATTGTAGATTTCTTGGCTGAAATAAATGAGAGAAGAGGACTGGTAACCACAGTTTCTGCCCACAAAATGAATAATGGATCTCTTTCATGACGAAAGTCAAAGATTATGTTTAAAGATGACCTGTTTGGTAAAAGTTTGAAATGACTGTATTTTTGACATTACATGAATGCAGCACAACTTTTAGAGAAGTAACAATACCTAACGTTATAATATTAACTATGGCATTCTGGTAGAAACTATAGTTACCATGGACAAATACTGTAAGGTGGAGCAAGAACAGTGTTATAAATAATTTTTATATAACATCATCTGTATCATCTATGCTTTACAGTACAAATGTTGAGTGTCTGTGTCAGTGTGTGGAGAGCTGTTGAAATGTCTGGTGTGCAGATGATCTGTGGTTTCTATTGTCTCCGGTTGGCCTGAGAGATGTGGTAGAAGGGATGGATTACCATGGTGATGAGGTATGTTGTTGCCCTCCAAGGTGGAGTGTCTTGGGCCTAGTGGCGGAGCAGGAGCTTGCATTAGCAGACCTCTCCCAGTATGGCTCGCTGTGGAGAAACGTGGAAAAGCTCTTAATGCACGAGACATCAGCACCCAGAATGACCCAGAATTCACACAAATTAGGTATAACTTTGATGAGTCAAACATTTTAAAAACAATTGCATACATTTGATAAACTGATAAATAATAAGGAAAATTGACTAAAATAGAGATAGACAGACAGACAGATAGACAGACAGACAGAAAGATAGACAGACAGATAGATAGAAGTATGAGAGGTGTGTGAGTAAGAAAGCAGATTGAACTAAAGTTATGAAAATGATGAAATTCTTGGAATCTGAAAAAAGACAAAAATGGTAGTATGAGCCATGTGCAAATCAAATGAATTAGTAATGTATTTTCATTTGAGGTTTATGGTGCTAGTAGCCAGAATGAGAGTTATTTACACCACAAAGCATAATCTGTAAATTTTGAAAGTCACAAAAGCAGCATATAAGCGTACATATTGATAATTGTGTCTTATTGAATCAGTGCAAGCCTCTAGAATGTTTATTGACTGATGTTAAACATATATTTTTCAAAACAGTAGTTTAACATTAACAAATTTTCCGGGTTATTGATTCGGGGCAATACGATTGGCTCGTCTCCGCCGCGATGCGCTTCAGATAACGGGTGGCGTTCTAATTGCTCGGCATAAACGGCCTCGTTCGCGCATTTATCTGTGGCACTCAAACGCTAAAGAGCTTTTATTTGTTAAGGGCTCTTCATGATCCCTGTTAAACACTGGAGGTTGCTGCAGGATGAATGAGGAGGAATTGAAAGGCGAGGTTTTAGCGGTAAAGGATTGATATCAGACGGGGTGAACGCGGGCGAGTCCCTCTCTCTATCTCCTCTAGATTGATGCCTTGCAATTTACAAACTTCTACGGGCCACAATTCATTTAGCACAATAAATTCCCTGCAGGTATGGAGAGTGTCGCCATTCTACCACCAACTGAATGAAAACACCTACACACGCAACGCTCCAACACACACACACACACACACCTACACACATAAAGGACTGTGTCTCCACGGCCCAATGTAGGCCCATTTTGATTTTGTTTCATGGCTGTAAAAGGCACTGTATATTGCAGACAGCGGCGGAAGATTTGGTCCATTTTTCAAAGCCGACTATATTACCCCTACACCACGCATTCTCTTTAAAAAAGACCTTTTTTTCCCCACATGTTGGGAAAACTAATCCCCATCTGGTGCATTGTACTCTATAAAATGCTCCGACATGGCCTTTCCATGATTTCCAGGGAATCGGCGATATGATTGAAAATGTGTCAGTTTTGTAAGCAGGCCTGCTCCGGGTGCACGTGCAAAACAGCACCGCTGACCCTGACGCCTCTCTGATCGCGTAAGACTTCCTGTGGACGCTAAATCCTGGTCCTATGTGACTCCTTGACAATCCTACAAGCTGGAGAGAGATATGAACGTATGCTGGATATGTTCTACTGGCACAATAATTGCAGAACCATTTTTTCCCCTTATTTAATCATTTCTTAATTTCAATGGCATTTTAGGAGATGGCCCGATTGTTAAGATTTGGGAAAGAAACTCTAAATATAATGGAAAACACAAAATTAAATAAACATGCACCTAAATCCAGTCTGGAACAGTCTGGTTAGCATGCTAGCAAACAGACAAGACAGCAAAAAGTGTTTATTAGACATTTTTAGTTTCAGTTATATAATATGATCTGAAGTATAAGTCGTATTTAGATAAATAATAATACAATAAAGTGATTTTGTAGGATCAGGCACTTTGCGCAACAACAGCCTGAAGGCTAAAGGCCCAATATACGTCAAGCAAAATCAGGCTAAAACGAGTTTGCTCCAGCAAGTAAACACCTACAAACTAGGACAAAACTTCTAACTACTTTTTACCCTTAAGCGAAGAATTAAAAATAACTTTTCCAAGAGGGCCTTCATTCACACTGTCAAATGGCAACTAACACTGTCAAATGGCAACTTACCCTTAAGCGAACAATGAAAACTAACTTTTCCAAGAGGGCCTTAATTCACACTGACAAATGGCAACTAACAGCCCAATTCTAGCCATACCAGAGAAATAAAGCTGAAATAAATTAAGGGTTTGTTCACACTTGTAGTCTGGTTAACTTGGTTGGTTTGGTCTGGACCAATAAAAAAAACATTTAGTACTGGTCCGCTTAGTGTTCAGATTGCCATTTTTAACACCGAACCTAAAGATACCGAACCTAAAGGCATAGGGATCCGTTCACAACCTGATTGGTCGGCTTTTATGACGTATTGCCTATTTCGTGACGGAACTTACCGAACATTCAAAACAATGCTGTGTTCTGGGCTAAATGCGCTCCTTGTATGTGCGTAGCTAACATATGATGGTATTTTGACCAGCTGAAAACTCGTGAAGGGTTTATAAAATGTGTAAAGGAGTCAAAACAGCAGAAGGAATCCCTCCCTCATCACACACAAACGAAGATCTGCTGCAAGTAGAAGCGGTTCTGATGCCTGTACCGAACTATGATGGGCAAATTCGTGACTATGATGAGAAAAAACTGGTGTGCTTGAGCATTCTGTCCTTTTTAGGGTCTCATCTTCCTGTTTTTGGTTCGTTTAGATGTCTTTGGTCCATGTTGCATTCATATTTAATACGAGATCCATCTTTTCATGGGTCTCGGTCCGCTTGTTTGGTGCGCACCAGGGTTTGGATGGCAGTAGTCATATGAACCGCACTAACAGAGCAATCGCACAAGGGTTCGTTTTAACAAAACCAAACAGGCCAAGTGTTAAAGTTAAAGTTAAAGCTACAACAGCCCAAAGCTAGGGTATTTGGTGACTCTAATATCATCTCTATCATGATTACATGACTTTGCAGTGTTGTGTCGTAATGAAAGTTGATCTTTTTCATGCACTGCCGAACCTGCTTTACTGTCTTCAATAAGATTGGGAACTTTTTACTTATTTAAATAGTTAGGCTAGTATTCGTTGTTGCTGTGAAATCAACCTTATTTTCAGCAAAAATAACTATATTTTGCTTTAAATTTTAATTTTATAGAAATTCAGATTTCCTGTAGATGCTAAACCCCTGACACTCCTGCAGTCTGGAGAGAAAAGAACGTTTGGGAGATATGTTCCCCTTCTGGTTTGGCCCAGACGCTCATAAAGTCAACAGCACAAGCGATGTAATACAAGCCTCAGAGTGTTGAAGATCTGCTCTGTGGGTGTGCAGTAGCATCTGAGGATTATTATCCAACAGGATGAAACCATGTCAGAACAGAGTGGCCCGTGCCAAAGGGTTGGCAGACAGAGAAAGTGAGTTTGGGGAGACAACATGTAGAGCAGAGATGAGGAGAGCTGTGGAGGGAAAGGATATACAGTACGTCTCTGGTATTCCAGCAGCGTTCACATCATTGTTTTACTAAAAAAATACAAACACACACACTGACAGAAGGCCAGTACGGAGGTACTGCAGACCCGTGCTGCATCACAGAGACCTTCAATCCTCACAAAACGAGGAGTGTGTCAATCAAACACAGGAACACTCTACACACCTGTCATAACCCCACGAAATAACTCCTTATTTTCCCTCAGCTGGGTAAACGGAAGAATCCGGAGAGACTAAGAAGAGACAGGAGGCAGAATATGATGAGAAATCAAACCTCATCCTGGGAGAAAAAACTTCCTTTATGGAAAAAGCTGAAAATATACCACTGGATGAACAAAAGATAAAGGCGTTTAGGTAGTAAAACCACAGCTGCAAAGAGTAAAAAACTAAAGTGAACATCACTGTCTATTTATGCTAAATTCTCCTCCTGAGTAGTTTTCCTACTGTAACCAATGCTGGCCTGAGATACAGTTCATGTGGACGGATGTACAGTTTGCAACAGGCATGAAATCAATCTGATTTAAACTGCAGAAGTCATAGTTCTGATCTTTTGATAGAATGCCCTACAGTATATAGACCCCCTGTGGTGAAAACCAAGTTTTTAATGTTGTTTGTTTCTACCAAAAACGTAACTAATCCAGTCAATGCGGAGGCGGGGCTTTTCTCCAAGGACTTTATATGATGTTGGATGCTGATTTTTAGAAGGCAGCTGTCTGACTCTGAGATGGCGAATGGGATCATGGTTTGTGTAACATAAGCAACACATTATTAGCCGCTTCATAACAGTCAAGCCAAAGGCTAATCATTTCAATTACCGTTATGTGTCTGACGTAGTAGAGAGTAATACATAAAAATAATTACCATTCTGATACATCAACTTGTAGACGAGCCTAAAATTTGCTCTCCCTTTTCTTCTTCTGAATCAGTTTCTGGTTCAAACATATATGGCTGAATTAAACCAACATTTCCACTTGCCATTGTGTAGCGTTTACTACAGTTGACCGAGTCGATCAGGTAATTCGAGCTGGTGCGATTGAGTGGAGGCGGAGACTAATTTGTAAATTCATAGATCCACATATAAGCAAGGGTTTAGAGTTAAATTCAAGCTATTTTAAAGCATGAAGGATTTATTTTCACAGGAAAAAAAAAAATTTAAATGTGTAATTTTGATTTTCAAAGATGAGATAAACCAGTTTAATTACTAAAAACTAGTCATTAAGGCAACTCAACTTAAACTATTTTTTTTTAATTCAGTAACTAAAATACAGCTGAAAAAAGAAGAAAAAAGATACACTTAACCTCAAAAAATTTAATGAAAATTTAGTTTGAAGTACTACAATTACCAAACTGAAATAAAAATAAAATTAAAGCTAGCCTATATATATAAAAAAAAATTATGAAAAATGAAAAAAGCACATAAAAACTTTTAAAAAATAACTTAAACTTAAATAAAAATATTTAAAAAAGCTAATTAAACATATTTATAATGCTATAATAGCATATGCATAATACTAAAATGATTTTGAAATTGTGTATGTTGTATTGCTGTAATGATAAACACTACTACTTGAATTCACAGTACGCTCACACTCACAAGTGTGACAGTAGCTTAAGACCCAACAAGTCCCATC